GGCCTGGAACCTGCTTCCCCTCCAGCTCCTAGTCCAGCAGTGGCCCCCGTTGTGACTGGGGGACCGCCCTCCCCAGGGGCTGGTGCCTACTTAAGCCGGAAAGCTCGACTCTCTTTTCGACACCAGCTGCATGATGTGACATCAGCCAATGACTCTACCATTTAAAAGGGACAACAAGGGGCTAAACTTTACTACAGGGAGTCTTGGCAACCTTCTGTCACCACGTTTGTCTGTCGTGACCTCATTAAACTTGTTCAGAGTCACAGAGTGTTGTGTGTGAGTGTTGGGTGAGGGGAATCGGGAATTGATGCTAGGCCTGGGGTAGAAGTGTGAGGTAGAAAAGTGTATGAAAAATGGAAATGGTATATCTGAGGTAGATCCCAAGTATAGCTAATAGGAAAGTTAAGTCTGCTGAAACCAGGCTTCAGAGTTGGGTGTGGGCAAAGTGAGCTGGGTAAAGTTAGGGCTTGGGCAGGACAGGAAACATAATTAAGTTTGTTTTGTTTTTTTGAGACAGGGTTTCTCTGTGTAGCCTTGGCTGGCCTGGAACTGGCTCTGTAGACCAGGCTGGCCTCGAACTCACAGAGATCTGCCTCCTGAGTGCCAGGATTAAAGGTGTGCACCACCACTGCCCCGCTAAGGAGTTTGTTATCTAGTGTTGGACTGGGGAGATGACTCAGTGGGTAAAGATACTTTGCTGTATAAAGCCTGAAGACTTGGGTTTGATCATTGGAACCCTTGTGAAATGCCAGTACCCAAGGCACATTGTAATCCCAGCACTCCCTGGGAGACAGGAGGTGGAGACAGTATGAAACATAGGAAGAAACAAGCTGGACCTTGCCGTAACAAGGTAGAAGAGAATCAATTCCAGAAAGTTGTCCTCAGACTTCTACATGTGTGCTGTGGCATGAACACATGTGTACATGTATACACACACACACTAAATAAAACCTTTAAAAAATTTAAGTTAGGGCTGGGCCTTTAAATCCTGGTACTCAGGGGGCAGAGGCAGGTGGATCTCTGAGTTCAAGGCCAGCCTGGTCTACAGAGTGAGTTCTAGGGCAGCCAGAGCTGTTACACAGAGAGACCCTGTTTCAGAAAAAAAAATTTAAGTTAGAAGCAGGAATGAAAAGAGCGTAAGAGACGGAAGATGGGAAGGAATGCTGAGAATGCCTTTAGGTGGCACAGTCTGAATTCATGAGCCCAGAGAAGCTGCACAAGACCAAGTCAGTCAAAATTTCAGCAAGGATGGAGGTGGAGCTCTGAGTCCCCATTTCTAGCTGAGGAGCTATTGGCAGTTGTTGGCTGCTAGAGTCAATTTTCTTTGGGGGTGTGGCTCCCAGTATGTTCCCCATGCTCCAGTGGATGGCCTCATACCCATGTTCATGCAGGTAACACTAATTGGACTCACTGGCATCTATCTATCTATCTATCTATCTATCTATCTATCTATCTATCTATCTATCATCATCTATCTATCTATCTATCTATCTCTATCTCTGTCTCCCTCCGTCCCTCCTTTCCTCCTTCCGTGTGTGTGTGTGTGTGTGTGTGTGTGTGTGTGTGTGTGTGTGTGTGTGTGATGGAAGAGGGACATGGTATTGGGGGAAGGTCCAGAGAGAAGGAAGGGGCAATGAAGAGTGGAAATGATCAATATTGTATAAATGTATAAAATTGTCAAAGAATGAATTTAAAATGTTCTTTAAAGAATATAGTGATGGCACACACCTTTAGTACCAGAACTCTGGAGGCACAGGTAGGTAGATCTCTGTGAGTTTGAGGCCAGCCTGGTTTACAAAGCTACACAGAGGAACCCTGTCTGGGGGTGGAGGGGAAGAATGTGACAGATTTATCAACGAATCAGGAAGAATTCCTTCTTTTACTGAGCTGACTTTCTAGTACGGACAGTAGATAACAAGTGAAAAATCAAGCATGCCAACAAGAAATAGCAATTAGGAGGAAAATTAAACTGGGTACTGTGAGAACGAGTCAGGGGTGTTTCTCCTATCACAAGAGGTCAGAAAAGGCCTTCCTGATGAGGGGACCTCTGAGGTGAGACCAGGGTGATGAGCAGCTGGAGAACCACATGTCAGTGCAGGTCACTGACTCCAACAGGTCAGTCTGGCTCTTGTGTAAGATACTGACAAACGAGGGAGGCTGTGCATGTGTGGCGGCAGAAGATTTCTTTATTTGTTATGTGTACAGTGTTCTGCCTGCGTGTTTGAAGAGGGTACCAAGTCTCGTTATAATTGGTTGTGAGCCAACATGTAGTTGTGGGGAATTGAACGCAGGACCTCTGGAAGAGTAGTCAATGTTCTTATCTCTGAGCCACCTCTCCAGCCTGAGGCAAGAGATACGTAGGAAGTCTTTTTAACCTCAACCCAATTCTGCAGCAAACCTCAAAATACTCTATTAAAAATAAAGTTTTGCCAAGCACAGTGGCTCCTGACTAAAATCTGGGAGGCTGAGGTACGAGGGTTGCCACAAGTTTCAGCATAGTCTGAACCACATAAGTGAGTTCCAGGTTAGTTTGAGAGTGAGATTTGTCTTAAGAAACTTGGGGCTGGGAGGTGGTGGTGCACATACCTTTAATCCTAGCACTGGGGAGGCAAAGGCAGGTGGATTTTGAAGCCAACCTGATCTACAAGGTGAGTTCCAGGAAACTTGGGGATCTGGCTATGGTAGCATACACCTCTATGTATGCTGGAGCACTCTGGAGGGTGAGATAAGATCATAAGCTCAGGGGCAGCCTGGGCTATACAGAGAAACCTTGTCTAAATTCATGGGACAGAAGATGTAGTTGGAAATTACTTGTCTAGCATTGCAGAGTCCTGTCTTTGATGCTTAGCACTATAAAACAAAAACAAGCAAAATCCACCCAACAAATATTAAAGTACAAATAAATTCTAAACAACAAAAAAAGCACCAGTGGCCAGGTAGTGGTGGTGGTACACACCTTTAACTCCAGCATTCAGGAAGCAGAAGCAGGCAGGATCTCTTTGAGTTCAAGGCCAGTCGACAAAGTGAGTACCAGGATAAGCTCCAAAGCTACACAGAGAAACCCTGTCTTGAAAAACAAAAAAAACTAACAAACAAACAAGAAACAACAAACAAACAAAAGAAAAAAAAAGAGTAAAAGCACCAGTGATTGGCATCAAAGCTGGGGCAGCTGTTTGGTCTTCTAGGTCATAAGCAGTCAGTATTCTAGGTGGAATGGCAAGACACCGAGGAATGCTTTTGGTTAGTGTGTGTGTGTGTGTGTGTGTGTGTGTGTGTGTGTGTGTGTGTGTGTGTGTGTTTGGGGGGAAGGGGGAGGTGTGATTGCTTCAAAGCAGGATCTCACTAGGTAGCCCTGGTTGACTCTGAACTCCCTATGTAGACCAGGCTGGCCTCAAACCCAGGTAACCATCTGCCTCTGCCTAGTATTAACGGTGAGTGCAACATGTGGTCTGACACTGAGAACAAATTGCAGAGAGCAACACAGGTTCATATTTAAACATCTTCTTGGTTGCTCTGTAGTTAAGGTTCCATAAGGGCAGGCATGGATGAGGTTATGTACTTTCAGAAAGGTTTTAGAGCTGAACTGTTAGGTTAAGTACAAGAGAGAGGACTCAGGGAGAACAGGACATATTTGGACATGAGAATCTAAAGTATTTCTAGTTAACATCCCTTTCTGTTCTTTTCACCTAACTAGGACCTTACTGCTTGTGGTGGGACTTTAGAATCACATGGAAAACAAACCTTTGGGCATGTCTCTGAAGGAGTTTCTAGGTTAGGTTAACTAAGGTGGAGAGATCCATCCTAAATGTAGGTTACACCATTCCATGGGCTGGAGTCCCAGAATAAATAAAAACAAAGAGAGCATAGCAGCCCTACTTCCTGCTCATGGATATAGGGTGACCAGTGGCTTCACACTGCCACCATGTCCTCTGCCTTGATAATCCCAGAATGAGCTATACTCAACCTTCCCCAAGTTGCTAGTCCTCTCTCCTTCTTTCCTGAGGAGTAAGTCTATAGGAACTGTCCTTTCTGCCCTCAGAACAAGGTCTGTAAATGTGGCTTCTAGTTCCCTGACCAATGGACTAGAGAAAATAAGACTGGAAGGATGGAGACACTGAGCACCTCTGAGCTCCTTTAGGTCCTTGGTTTGAACAGGGACAGCTCTAAAGGGGTTTGAGCCCATTCCCAGCCTCATGAGGGTGGTGTTTACAGAAATGGCTGAAAGCACTCCCTATGGCTGCCCTTTGCTCCCAGCATTCACCGTAATTTCCACCTCTTTCCCCAGAAACAAAGAAGTGGCTTTGCTGTGTGATGATTAGGTGACAGAGAGAAAGAGGGGACCAAGAGGCTAGCCTGGGGGAAATTTTAACCTGGGTCAGCAGTCACCATGATGACTGGCAGCAGGGAAGGTGATCCCAGTCTCATAATTCTGAGTTTTAGCTGGGACTCAGGATGTTGCTGCAGTTCCTGTATCAACCACATTCTGGTGGTTCGGGTATCTGGGTATGTAGAGTGTATATGATCTACAGAAAAATATTCAAAACTAATGACCAGATACATGGGTACACACCTATGACCTGGGCACTCAAGAAGCAAAGGCAGGAGGATTGCCACAAGTTCAAGAGCAGCTTGGGCTATAAAAGATCTAGTCTCAAAAAATAAAAACAAAGGGGCTGGAGAGAGGGCTCACCAGTTAAGAGCAGTGGCTGCTCTGCAAGAGAACCTGGCAGCTCACTGTCTGTAACTCCAGTTGCAAAGGATCCAGCACTCACATAAACATACATGCAGACAAAACACCAATGCACATAAAATCAGTGATTAAAAAAACCCAACCAACCAAAAATAATTCAGTAATAATAACAGAGCAGAGCACTTCTAAGTCTCCCTCATCACCTCTCAATTCCTACAGAGCTCAGTGCAGCAGTTTGCACAGAGACTGGACCTGACAAGTCCAAGCTTGAAGTCAAGAAGAAAAAAGAAAACCACAACAAACAGAAACATCTTTGACAAACTGTTTATTAACTTTTCTATCAGTATGAATATCTTTTAATATACCCTAACATTAGGATTCAGGGAGGGGGTAAAGTAGCAATGGTGAATTTGGGTATCTGGTCTCCCAAAAGCACCTGCCGTTCTACCCCTGACTCTTGAATGGCTGCCAAGCGGATCACCCCTCCACTGGAGCCGTCCCGTTCCATAGCCAAAGCGAGAGCTGTAGATAAAAGGAGGAAATTGGGTTGGAGTTAGGCGCTGAGCGTATGGCAAGCAATAAGGAATCTTGGCGTGCTTGGGTAGTGAGGGCTGAGGTTCACAGGTCTAAAAGCCCAAATTCTTACCATTGGCAGTGAATTGCAGACATTCGTCCTTGGTCATGCCTTCCCGATAGGTAGCATCAACATAGCCATAGATGTATGAGCTCCCAGAGCCTCCAATGGCAAACGACTGCCTTACCATCATACCCCCCATGGGAACTGAGTACACCTGCGGGGTGGGTGGGGGAGGAAAACCATCAATTACACCCAACATATGTACGTTTACCCGCCCCTTTTGACTTTGTTCCGGGGAAAAGTCTATGGTAAGGTAGAGACAGAAAGAGAAACCAAAAAATGGCTGGAGTTGGACTGGGGTTGGCTCGGGTGGTAAAGTGCCCGCCAGGCAAGCCCAAAGACCTGACTTCAAATCTCAAGCACTATTCAAAGGCCAGGCGTGTCTGTAACCCTGGGAGACGGAGGCAGAGAGGGTACTCTCCAGAGCTCATCGTGTAGCCAGCACAGCCATAAGGTGAGCTCTATGTTCAGGATGACCACGTCAAGAAATGAAACGAGAACAGAAGACACGGCCAGCAGACTTCTGGCCTCCACACAACACATATGCATCTGCATCTACATGCAGACACCCACAGGATGTGTGCAGCAGGACATAGTGGGACACACACAACACACAGACCAACAGACACAAACGCAGACACACTGAATGTCCGTGGAAGAGCAAAGGTGTGACTGCAGCGCTCTGGCGGGGGAGGGCCTGACCTGCCCTCCTTCTTGAGGGTCCCAGCCTGCAATGATGATTCCCGCCATCAGATCTTCTCTGTACCGGTAACACATCTCCTTAAACAGACTGGCGGCTGTGTGTACTAGTGGAGGCTCATTCAGTTCGATACTAGAGGGTGGGGTTGGAAGGTCAGAGAAGGCAGTGTCAGGATCTGGGGTCCGGCCTCTTGGTGCCTTAGGTCCCAGATCCCTTAGGATATTTGCTCCTCCCCTGCCCGCAGGCACCTGTGGAACCCGAGCTGGTAAGTGACAGCATCAGCTACTGCTTGGGTGTCAGCCGCTGAGCCTGAGCGGCAGCAGAAGATCCGGTCATGGATAGGGGTCAGCTTGTCAGTCACTCGGTTGGCGATGTAGGACCTGCGGGATGGCACATGAGTGAGAAGGAGCCCACCTGCCTCCGCCTCCTCCGCCACACCACTATCCACTCCCTCCAGCTTCAGGAGAAATACCGGTGCTACCCATCAGTTCTGAAAGCGAAGCGGGATGGACAAACAACAGTCCTTTACTAGTATTTCGCCAAAGGGTGAGGGGAACTGCGAGCAGTAATATTGGGAACAAATCCACATCTTCCCACAGCGGTCTGAGGACGGTCAGGCTGGGCTGGCGGTTAGAAGGGGGTGTGTACGGGGTGGGGGCACAGGAAGACCGTTCTGTTTTGAGCTCACCCAGTGGTTGTTCTTGAGTCTGCTCCTAGAACCACGCCCCCATCAAACTGCACAGCCATGATCGTGGTCTGGGAAAAGGAAGAGCGTGCAAAGAGTGAAGCTGAGCCTTACTCGAGCACACATCAACCCCGGTGACTCCTCGCCCGGATTCTAGAATGCAAAACTCGTGCTCCAGGGACCCACTACCAAATCTTATGGGGGCTCATCACTTCAAATACAAAAATTCCAATCTTCAAATCCCAGGATTTAGGATCTTGTGCTCAGCCCACTGTTCACCTCTCACGACGAAAGGTATCACCCGACTCCAGCATCCAAAGAGCCCTCCTCCCTCTCGCAAAACAACGCTGCCCCTCCCCCAGCACACTAAGCCCAAACCCACTCGGGCCTCGTGCTTTCCCTCGCGCCAGGCCTACTACATGTCTTCTGAACTCTGACTCTTTCCTCACCCCTGTGGAGACTTCCCGGTTTTCCCAGTCTGGGGTGAGAGCCTCCGGCCCAAAGGCCGGTGCGGAGGCCCCTCCACGAACAGCTAAGGCGGCCGCCATCTTCCTCTGCCTCTGCTGCCACAAAGCAACTGTCGTAAAGCGCTCCGTCACTCTCTTTAGTCCCCCTTCTCGGGGGAGCGGGCGGAGGTGGACGGCGGAAGTTTGCGACAGTGAACACTTGACGGCAGTGTGTCAAGTTGCAAAAGAAGAAAAAAAAAAACAAAAAGGAGGGCATAGGGAAGGAAGGCGAGGGCGGAGCTTACAGACCGCCCCACCAGAGGCCCGCTGGATCCCTGAGGCTGAAGATGGTTCTAACTGCGGTCCAACTTTATGAGATGTGTATGTGTGTTGTCTCAATGTCAAGAGGTTGGACACTCCATAACCTGATTGGTGTCCTGGTTCAAAGACCCTGCAAGATAGAGTATAAATTGGAATGGTCAGGGCATGTTTTCATTCCTCTTGGGTACAAATTTAGCAGTATACGCTAGGAGTTAATTTTCTGGGTCTTTTGAAGAAGCTATAATTGCTTTCTGTACCATTTGATAGCACCTGCCATATCTGAGGGTTTCCACCTTCATGCATTCTCACATATACATATTAATATAATATATTGTTATTTTTTAAATCATGGCCATTCTAGTGCATGTGGATGCAATCTTGTAATTTTTTTATTTGTTTTTCCTGAATAATTATTAATCATATTTTTATGGCTAATGAGTCATTTGTACATCTTCCTGGAGCAATGTCCATTCAAGGTTTTTGTCCGTTTTAAAAAAGGGTTACTTAGGGGCTGGAGAGATGGCTCAGTGGTTAAGAGCACTGGCTGTTCTTCTTGAGAACCTTGGTTCAATTCGCAGTACCTACAAGGCAGCTCACGTCTGTAACCCCAATTCAAGGGAACCTGACACCCATGGCAAAACACCAGCACACATAAAAAAAATAACTGAATTGAAAAAGGTTGGGGGTTATTTGGTGTCTTGTTTTGTTTTAAGACAGGGTCTCTCTGTATTGTTTTCGGAGGCTGTCCTGGAACTTGCTCTGTAGACCAGGCTGGCCTTGAACTCACAGAAATCTGCCTGCCAAGTGTTGGGATTAAAGGCATGCACCACCAATGCCTGGTTATTTGGTGTTTTTATTGCTGTTGTGAGTGAAGTTTTTTGTTTGTTTTGTTTTGTTTTTGTTTTTTTGAGACAAGGTTTCTCTGTGTAACTGTAGCCCTGGATGTCCTGGAATTCACTCTGTAGACCAGACTGGCCTCAAACTCAGAGATCATCCTGCCTCCAGTGGTGGGATTAAAGGCATGAGCATTTTTTTTTTTTTTTCGAGACAGGGTTTCCCTGTGGCTTTGGAGGCTGTCCTGGAACTCGCTTGGTAGACCAGGCTGGTCTCGAACTCACAGAGATCCACCTGCCTCTGCCTCCCGAGTGCTGGGATTAAAGGCGTGCGCCACCAACGCCCGGCAGGCATGAGCATTTTTTTAATTTTAGGTACTAGAAACATCAGATATATAACTTGCAGATATTTTTTCTACCACTTGATATGGTGAAAGCTTTAAATTTTGGGCAAAGTGAAATAGGCCAAGTAGTAAAGTTTCCCTTGCACGTGGAGGAGAGAACAATCCCTGAAAGTTGTCTTCCGACCCCCACAAACCACTGTGGCTCAAATGCACTCTCCTCTCCCCCAACAAATCACTAAATGCTAAAAAAAAAAGTTTTAAATTTTGGTGAAGCCAGCTGGAGATTGTGGCACATGCTTTTAATTCCAGCACTGGGGAGGCAGAGTGCGAGGCCAGCCTGGTCTACAGAGTGAGTTTCAGGACAGCCAGAACTATTACACACTATTATGCAGAGAGACCCTATGTTGCCAAAAAAAAAAAAAAAAAGGTGGAGTCAAATTTATTCATTTTTTTCTTCAGTTGTGTTTCTGTAGTAATACAGAATTGTCAATGCATTGCTTTCTGAGATTTCTGTTTAGATTTTGCTTTTGTTGATGGGTTAAGACCCAGAACTTTGTGCATGCATCCTAGGCAAGCACTCTCTCATTGACATCCCCAGGATTCTTTACTTTTTTTTTTTTTTGAGGAAGGATCTCTCTAAATTATCCAAAGCTAACTTTGAACTTATTTGTAGCCCAGGCAGGCACTGTGCTTACTGAACTGATGTATCAGCCTCCCAAGTAGCTGAGATCACGAGGCCCTGATACCAGGCTTGGCCTTTCTGATTTTTTTTTTTTTTAGATAGGATCTCATTTGGCTTTGAACTTGGATCTTCCTTTCTGTATATTCCTTTTGCTGGGATTGTAGATAGGTTGTCATGCCTACCCTGCTTTTTGTTTATTTATGTTTTTCTCCAGACAGAGTCTCATTATGCAGCCTTGGTGTCCTGGTACTTGCACTGTAGACCAGGCTGTCCTAGAATTCACAGAGATCTGCCTGCCTGTGCCTCCATAGTTCTGGGACTAAAAAGTCCTGTGCCACCCTGCTTTTATGTGGGTGACGAGGATTCAAACTCTGGTTCTCACCTCAAGTACTTTACCAGCTGAGTCGTCTCGCTAGCCCCCAATATCTACATTTTTAAAAAATCACCTTTTTTGCTTTAGTGACAATACAATTGTAAGAAAGAATAGGGGAACATGGCGACAATTAGGCTAGTTCAATAACACAGGTGATACATAAGGTTGATTTAGACAAAGAACTGTGGGGAATGGTCAGATTTTCTGATTCAGTGTTGATGTGGTGAAAGCCAGTTTAACAAGATTTTGAGTCTGAGGAACTGGAAAAATAGAATTCCTTACTGATCTCACAAGACTACAAAGGGAATATTTTAGGAGGAGAAAGCATTAAAAACTCAGTCTGAACTTGTTAGGTATGCTATGCCTAGTTGACATTCAAATAGAAATGCCGGATAGCCAGGTAGATATGCAGAATTCTAGAGTTAAGAAATAGATTTGAGGTACAGTTTTGGAGTTAGTATATGAAAAGGTTAACTCTTTCACGTTCACTAACATGGGAGCGGCCAAGGAGCCCTTTGATAAGACATTTTGTGGAGCCAAGTGCCTGTTTGTTGAGAGTCATGATGCACAGGCTCTAGGATGGAGACAGAGAACACAAAAGGAAACGGACTTCTGGTGGAGGCAGGGTGGAACTCAGGCGGGACCTGAGTTTGCTGTGTGGAGCTCAGAGAACAGGTCTGGACTGCAGACTTGCTATCCGGCTGGCAACTGAAGCCATGGGCGTGGCTGAAATGGGCTCTGGGGAATATGAGCCATTCGGTGACAGAGAACCGGGGTGACACATCTTCCCACATTTCCTCCCTTAAGCTGGTTCTACGGTCATCATACATAACGCCCTGTGTGTCGACAGCAACTAAAGAATTCTTTATTCCTCATTGCTTCTTCAAGTTTCGTAAGGCTGAAGATGAGAGGATCTGATACCACGCACTCTGCCCTGCTGGGGCTGGGCCTTAACTGTGGTGACATCACGGAGGAGGACGGCTCCCCAGGCCGCCTGGCTCCTTGGTGACCCTGGATGCCTAGATCCCTCCCCACAGCAATGCCTTCCTGGTAGTCCCCTGACACCGCGGTCATCAAGCCAGCTGGAGCAAGCCGTGGCCGGCCAGCAGGCTTTGGGTACGGTTGTAGACGTTCTCCAGGACTCGGGCGGCCCGGGTTAGGGCCGCCCGCGCGTCCGCCTCTCCGGTTCCGGGACATGCCAGCTGGAGCAAGCGGCTGCGACCAGGGAGGGCGAGGATGGCCAGGCGTGCGGCCTGGCGGATGAGCCAGGGGTGGTGCTTGGCCAGGGCGGTGCTGTAGGCGTCTCCGCACTGCACGCCCACGTCGGGACCTCCGAGCGTCCCAGTCGCCACCCTGTGGAGGCAGAGCTGGGACCAGCGCAGCGCGCGGTGCAGCAAAAGCAGCGTTCGAGAGCCCGAGGCCCTGGCTGGGTTCCGGGCCGCGGTCCCGGGCCGTTCCAGTAGTCCTGCTTGCCGCTCCCATGTCGCCATAGACGCCAGCGACGTGTAGTGCGAAGCATCCGGGCCATGCACGCGAGCCTCGAGGGCGGTCACCTTGATGAAGGCTTCGCTGGTGGCGAAGGCGAAGACAGAGCCAAGGGGGGTTAGGAACCTGTTTGGCGGTGGAAAGGGGGAGATGACTTGAGAAAGAGCAATGGATCATATGAAAGACGGCCTCTGGGGAGGGAGATCGAGACTCACCTGAGCAGTTCCCTCCATCCTGCCAGGTATTGAGACAACTCCACATCCCCTTCGGGGCTCATACAGGCCAAGAAGGGGCTCACCATACGACCCAGCACCCCTTGAGGCCCCAGACAGGGAGGCTCTTCTTTCTCTGGGACTACCAGGGGTATCAACTCTGCAACGATCTGGGAGGTAGACATGAGAGATAGGTGAAAAGTTCCTAACCTGCTAGGCCTACTTAACGACTGATGGGCTCCGAAAAAAATAGTCCCTCAGGTTTAGCCGGGGTTCCTCCTGCTTATTCTTAGCATCTGAAGGGAGAGGGCAACGGGGGGGGGGCTCCTTTCATTAGCTTCTCAGCCTGGGTCCCCTGTTTCCTTGTTCAGAACCTTCGGTCTCTGGCCTTAACTCAAACTTACCTGGGAAGGCAGCGGTCCCTCTGGATTGCAGGCCTGCACCCCGGGCCTGCAGCCTGTCAGGACACCTGAGGTGAACCGAAGCAAGGTGGTGAGGACTGGAGAAGGAGAAGGGGGCTCGAGTTCCCAAAGGCCAGACTGCTGGGTTCTCCTAGCCGGTAATACTAGAGGCCACTCACGGAAGAGCCTCGCACTGGTGTAAAGAAATAACAAAGTGAAAATAGCGAAAGGAATTGCGTGGCACAACCAGCGTCCCAGGGCCGGGGATGTCAGTGAGACCCCCATGACCATCGCTGGCACACCTCACCTAACTGGGTGGTGGCCTTTCTCTTCCCGTGGTGTCCAGAGGTGCAAATGGTTAATAATTAACCTATTAAGCCCCCTCCCTTGTGTCCTTTGCCCCAGAGGTCAGATCCTTGGGTGAGGGACCTAATGAAGATTTGGGGGATTTGGCATGTGACATGTCTCTTCGTTTTCTTTACATGTGGGACTAGCCTGTAATAAGAGGCAGCCTCTTACGGGTCCTACTTTAACCCTGGGCATGAATCCATTTTAAATCGAGGATAATGGGTCTTTGTAAATCTCACGTGAGGATCAAGTGAAAACATTGTAAGTGGGAAAGCTGATCACAATTGCCCAATAGATCTTACTTGCTGGGGTCAGATGTGGGGCTTTAGGCTCTCTTATTTTACATTCTAATGATTTAGTTTTTTAAGCTCCACATTAGTTTTTCCTTCATTAAATCAATCTTTACTTCACCGTGGCAGGCCCTGTACTCGATTCCTCAGAATACCTAAGTGTTTTCACAGTTGGATATGGCGGCCCATGCCTTTATGCAATCTTAGGTGCTTGGGGGGCTGAAGTAGGAGTAACAAAAATTCAAGGCCAGCCTGGTAACTTACCTAGATCTGTCTTTTAAAAAGGGCCATTCTTATTCCAATAACAATGCTTAGAGATGCTCAGAATGGCCCAGCATTTTACATACCATTACATGTTTCCATAAAATACAGACTAACAAGAATGGCTATATGGGCCGGGCGGTGGTGGCGCATGCCTTTAATCCCAGCATTCGGGAGGCAGAGGCAGGCAGATCTCTGAGTTCGAGGCCAGGCTGGACCAACAGCCTCCAAAACAATACAGAGAAACCCTGTCTCAAAAAAAAAAAAAAAAAAAAAAGAAAAGAAAAGAAAAAAAAAAAAAGAATGGCTATATGGAACCCCTGATAACAGAATTGTTAATCGTTATTCCAAGAAGCTTGGGGAAGCACCAAAATCGACATGTTGTGTCCAGGCAGACTTTGAGGAGTTTGTGCTGTGAGTCCTAAAGTTCTCATGACATTGCCTAAAATAACAACAGCAATGCTAGCAGGGTATACATGATTCCACTTGTAATAAATGTGTTCATGAGAGGATCTGGTGTTATGTTCTCTTTTAAGGAACAGAAAACCATTGTGAAAGTATTGAAGACACAAGTACAGAGTCAGAAAGCTAAATAAATAATAAGATTTTTGTATTATTTATTTGTTTATTGAGAGAGGGTTTCTCTGTGTAGCTTTGGCTGTCCTAGAAGTCACTCTGTAGACTAGGCTGGTCTCAAACTCACAGAGATCCACCACTGCCCAGCTAATATTACACTTTTTAAAACAATAAAAATCAAGCCTTGTTCTGTGAAAAACATTAAAAATAGTTTAAATTTTTTAATTATAAAAAGGGTTAGTGGTAGGTTGTCTCTCTAGTATGTGCAAGACTCTAGGTTCAAAACCCAATCAATATTTTGTGTGTGTGTGTGTGTGTGTGTGTGTGTGTGTGTGTGTGTAAACACAGCTCAAGCTTCACTGGGGAGAATCTTCTGTCTTCCCCAGTGGAATGTGGGCCTTGATAAAGACATGTACCTTTTCTCTCTGTGTGCATTTTGAAGACTGAACCCGTGACGTTGAGCATGCCAGGGAAGCATTCTAGCATCGAGCTGTACCATCTTCAAATCCCACTTTGTTCCCTCTTCCCTTTTATGTTTGAGACAAGGTGTAAACTCTCCAGGTTGATTCATTTTATTTACTTATTTATTTGAGACCGGGTCTCTGCACATAGCCTTGGTTTGTTTGTTTGAGTCTGCAAAGCCCTGACTGTTCTAGAACTCATTATATAGACCAGGCTGACCTCAAACTCACAGAGTCCGCCTGTCTCTGTTTCTTGAGTGCTGGGGTTAAAGGTGTGCATCACTATGCCCCACATCTCAGATTGATTTTGAACTTTCTATCCTTAGCTTTCTGAGCCGCTTCGATCACACACAAGCTTGAGCCACTTGGCCTGGCCAGGCACCTTACTTTTCTTGGCCATTTTAAGCATTTAGAACATTGCTTGCACCAAATGTATGATAAATAAATAATTATTTGTTAAAGAAACAGAGGAATGTGTATGAGGCCAGTAAGTCAGAGGGGTCCATCTACTGGTCATAGTAGGGAAGGCATGCCAGGAAAGGATTCAAAAACATAAGCAGGCCAGGGCAAAGGAGTTGTAATCCCAGAACTCAGGAGCCCGAGGAAAAAGAATCAAGAGTTCTAGGAAAGCCTGGGGTATAGAGTGAGCTCCAGGCCAGTCTTGGCTACATGGTAAACCCCGACTTAAAGAACACAGGAAACACAGAAAGAGCAGCTTCATTTGTCTCCTGCTCTCAGTCCCTGTCTCACTGGGTGTGGTGCCCCCTGGGTAATCCTAGCACTTGGGAGGCTGAAGCAGAAGGATTGTGGAGAGTTCAAGGTCAGCTTGGGCTATTGTGCTGGATGTTGTATGTCAATTTGTCACAAGCTAAAGTCATCTGAGAGGAGGGAGCCTCAGTTAAGAAAATGTCTCCAGCCGGGCGTTGGTGGCACATGCCTTTAATCCCAGCACTGGGGAGGCAGAGGCAGGAGGATCTCTGTGAGTTCGAGGCCAGCCTGGTCTACAAAGCTAGTTCCAGGACAGCCTCTAAAACAATACAGAGCCAAGGCTAGAGATTTTGCCAGTGCTGGGATTTTCCTCCACTTACTGGGGGCAAGTCACTTGTCATTTCTGAGACCCAGCTCTCTCATTTACAAACTAGGAAATATTATTTCTATCTTCTACAGTCATTGTGAGGATTACATGAAATATACTGCAAAATCCCAATCACAGCTAGTGGTCTACAGTATTGGGCAGGTGCTAATTTCAACTCAATGGCTTTCACTGCACCTCCTTCAGTAGCTCTTGGCAGCCTTTGTCTCCCAGAGTTGGGAATCAAATCTTCAGGGTTCCTGGAACGGATTAGTTTTGAATGTCACTTAATCCTGGTCATTCTTCCGCAATCTGAGCCATGAAAGGACAGGGCTGGTATAGACCGGCAACCTGAATCCTGATAGGCAACGGGTTGATATAAATTCATGAAAGCAATCAGATTCATAGGTAGTGCAGGATGGAGTTGCAGGCTGGAGCCAAATTGCTGCTGCTGCTATGGGTGATATTCTGTGGGCATGCACAGAGAATTAGGCAAGAAGCTCGATATGCATCGATTGTTGAAGTGACCAACGGTGGGACCTGGGGTGATTGGGCCTGGCCTGAGATGTGTCCCGATGGATACTTTGCCAGTGGGTTCTCCATCAAGGTGAAGCCTCAGATGCGGGTCTTAAAGGACGGAGATATGCCAGATTGCAGAGCTGAGAATGGCGATCCCCTCTCACAGAAGCTCACTTCTTCTCTCCTCCACACTTAGGTGGAGCCCCCTCAAGGCATTCCTGGAGATGACACCGCTCTGAACGGGATCCGGCTGCACTGTACTCGAGGGAATGCGGAGCAAAACACCCATGTTGTAGAGTCCCAATCAGGAAGGTGGGAATTCGGGACCCCCCCAAAAAAGGTGGGGTAGAGCGTTTATCAGTGTGTGTGAAGCTGGGAAGGGCACTCTCCTAGTGCAAAGGGATACCCCTTTCCCTCTGTTACACTCCCGAGGTAAACTTACAGTTAAGGAGAAGTAGGAGGGAAACACAGCTGATTAGACCCGATCCATCCCTTATTGGTAGTACCTGGTTTGGAAGTCCCCAGGTGGGTAGGAGGCGCTCACAGAGCCAGTTATAACTCTCCTTCTCTTGCAGCTGGGGCTCGTGGAGCGAGCCTCTGTGGTGTCCTGGCTCGCACTACCTAATGGCTTTCTCCCTTCGGGTGGAGCCGTTTTCATTTCCTGGGGACAACACTGCGGTGAACAACGTGCGCTTCCGTTGCTCAGACGGTGTGGAGCTGGAGGGGCCTGGACTGAGCTGGGGAGATTATGGAGACTGGAGCGACTCCTGTGCCAAAGGTGTCTGTGGCTTGCAGACCAAAATCCAGAAGCCTAGAGGGCTGCGTGATGACACTGCACTTAATGACGTCAGGGTATTCTGCTGTAACAGCTGATGTTGTTACCTCTGCCCACTCTCCCACTGGACCCTGCGTTCTGCTCTAACAACTGAGGCTGTTGCCGCTGCCCACGCACCCTGCCAGCACTGTGCCTCTTACTATTAAAGCTTCTTGGTCTTTGCTGTCGCTCGATTTAGAAATGAGAGGAGCTGCCTCCTTGCTTCTGTCTTGACCCTGCATAGGTCCAGGCCTGTGTTCAGGTTTGGCTTAAAGGTAACCGCAGGTCACACAGTTCAGAACAAAGAATTTAATTAATCACATAACTTAGGGCGCAGATACTATGTTCCCTTTAAGAGCCCAAATTGTTTCCTTCCGAGCTACCAGTGACTTCAGATTAAGGAATGGGATGGAAGTCCCCGCGTTAATTAGACCCAATCTATCCCTGATTGGTAGCGCCTGTTTGGAAGTCCCCAAGTCTGAGTTGGCCAGGTGGGGCGTACCTCTGGTTTGCAAGTCCCTAGGTGGGTAGGAGGTGCAGCTAATTAGATGACAACGCAAATGGTTTTATATTTCCATTTTCTAGAGTTCTGAGACTAAAGAATCTTTTCCCATGGAATCAGAGTGGAGAGGGGAGAAGATAGAGGGAAGAGCCAGAACAGGAGGCCAGGAGGGTAAAGGGTAGATAAACAAACACACAAACAAGCAAACAAGCAAAAAGGCCAGGCAACCAAAATGTCTGGATTATGTAGGGAAGGCAGCTGGGGAAAGGGCATCCCAGCTCCAGGACTGAAGAAGTTTAGGGTAGGGGTGGGGTATGCCAGCCATACCCTCGAACAGGTAGAAACTGAGGGATGCTGGGAGAACCTGGCAGCCAGGTCCACTTTGATATGTAGGCAACTTCAGCCATTTGTACAGGGTTTGAGACCTAACATTTATCAGCGACTGAAGTAAATCTTCACTTCTTTATAGAGAAACTGCCAGCCAGGATATGGTGGCACTCACCTTTAATCCCAGCACTAGGGAGGCAGAGGAAGGTGGATCTCTGTGAGTTCAAGGTCAGCCTGGTCTACAGAGTGAATTCCAGGACAGCCAGGGATACACACAGAAACCCTGTCTTAAAAAAAAAAAAAGACAAGGAAAAAGAAAAAGGAAGAAATGGTCAATGGTGGGTGTAAGAAAAATGAGGCAGAGAAGCAGACAGAAGTCATAGATTGCGTGTGTGTGTGTGTGTGTGTGCACATGTGTGTGTGCACATGTGTGAGCTGGAGCACAGTGTTTGATTTGACCGCAAGCAGGGTGTGTTGTTTTCAGTACCTGGGAGTATTTTGTTTCTTCGGGTGAAGTGGAAGGGTCAGGCTGGGGTAGAACTGCTCTTTACGGCTTGGGGCTTTTTGCCTAGTACAATTCCTCTGGCCCCCAGGACCTGAGGGGAGGAGTGAAATGGGAGCGCAATAGGTAGAGGTGCTTGGTGCAAGCCCAAGGACCTGAGTTTGATCCCCAGTGCAAGCCCAAGGACCTGAGTTTGAGCCCCAGAACACACATGATATTAGAACACTCCTACATCACTTACACACACACACACACACACAGAAAATTAAGTTAAAAATTGCTCATCTTTCACCATTGGCACCTTGAGAGCACAGAATTTTATTTCCAGAACAATACCTATTTGTTAGGAAAATAACTAGCTGGGGCTGGGGGTACAAATAGAGGCACAAGCCTAGATATGTCTGAAGGCCCGCGTACAGTCCTTCCAAAGGATAAACTGGGGCAGGGTGCTCAGCGCGGTTTATACCACAAAGGAAAAGACTGAACAATAAAAGCTAAGCAGGGAGTGGGTGGTCCACTCAGACTTCCAGAAATGAGGTATTATGGGTGACCCATGGAACTCAGTGAGCCGAGCCCTGCAAGAAAATAAAAAAGGGTAAAAACTCAGCCAAGAACAAACGGGACCCCGTCCCCCCACAATCCCACCCCATGCGTTCCCACCTTTTTCTGACAATCGCCACACAATACGCCAATGGTCGCATTCACCAGCTGTATTCCACACAGCACTGTTTCCAGGCTTGAGGCGACCACCAGCAGAGAGAAGAGCGTCACGTTCCAGGGCACCACGTGAGGTGGCGCCTCACATAAATCCCATAGAGTTTTATTGTGCAAGTAAGAGCCTCTGTGGATGGACAGGGTCATTTGAAAGAATCTGATCACACGGCAGGCCCTACCACCACCCAGTGCAAGGGTCTGCTAATATCTGCAAAGGGCTCGATGGGCCACGTGGAAGGGGCTCTCTGGAAGCTCGGTCTAGTTCATCATTTCTGGACCACGCAGGAAAGAAGGGCGGGTGGGGAGGGGCACAGAACGGGGGATACAAACACAGAATAGGACTTACTGGGTTTCCTGGAAGTGATAGTCCCACTGGTTGTTTATTAAGCATTTGGGTCCCACTCGGAGCCCGGCTCCCGACACTGAGAGGCAGTAGATGGCGCCAAGCATCCCAAAGGCAGAGGAGAAGACAGAGCGAAGCATCTAGACCCGGTGTGGAAAGGTAAGGTGAATTGGCCCGCCTCCTCCCTTGGAGGGCCACCCGTGCCAACTCCTCCCGCATGTTGCAGCGCTCCTGCCCAGCCTGCCTAAAAATACATTTCTCTTTAAACTCCAGGTTTGAAGTTAGGAGAATCCTAAACGTCATCTACCACAGAGGTTCATGGGGCCTCTAGGCCCCTCTGGTCAGGTTCATTTGGGACCCAAGACTGTGACTGAGGCAGCGCCTCAGCTTGTAGGCTGTGCTGTGGTTCTCCGGGAAGAGTCAGGAACCAAACTTCTTTCTTTTTTTCTTTTTTTTTCTTTTCTTTTTTCCCGAGACAGGGTTTCTCTGTGTTACAGCTCTGGCTGTCCTGGAACTCATTTCTTTTTCTTTTTCTTTTCTTTTTTTTTTTTGGGGGGGTTTTCGAGACAGGGTTTCTCTGTAGCTTTGGAGGCTGTACTGGAACTCACTTTGTAGACCAGTCTGGCCTCGAACTCACAGAGATCCGCCTGCCTCTGCCTCCCGAGTGCTGGGATTAAAGGCGTGCGCCACCAACGCCCGGCTCGGAACTCATTTCTTAATTTGGTTCTTACCCTGCAGCGATTCCCACAGCAACCTGCACCGCAGCAGCCCTTGCCTCCTGCCCGGACTGCTGCAATTCCCGGACACAGCACCTGTGGGATGAGAGTTGGTGATGGTGACAGGTTCTAGATCCTCAAGGCTGTACTTGCATCATCCATCTATCTCCTTAGGAAAGCTGCTCACGATGCCCTCAGCCCTTTGTACTGTAAAACCTTATCTGTACGTCTCTGGATCATTGTTGGACTCTACCTCAATTTATCATTATTTATATGCCTGCCTTATCTCGCTCCAGATTGTAGCTTCCCGGAGAGCTGGGTCCAAAATACTATGCCTATCTTAGACAAAAGGCCATCAAATGTTTGGACGAGGGGGTGGCAATAGGATTTATTCCACATACACAGTTTTGAATGGTAGGTACCTACTGAATGGGAGTCAGGGTCTTCATTCCACTCTGTGAACTGATTGCTTTCAGTTTTGTCTCTGTAAAATGGATCTGCAAGACCTATCTCAAAAAGACTGTTCTCAGGATTTAATGAGACAGCAGGATGATTTTATGTCATGACTGACTCAGAGAGAAGACCTTGTGCTGATCACTTCAACAGGTACAGTGAGCAGCAATTATGGAGAGTGTGTTAGGATTTGCACAGAGATTCTGGTGTAGATTGCCGGATTTCCTAAGAGTCAACTTCTAATGTTTTGTTTTTTCCTTGTATCCCTTATTATGAAGCACATACCCTCCCAGGTAACCAACCAGCTGTTCCTCTTTGCTAACAGTCACTTCCGGGTACCCAGAGAGCCGTATCATACTGCCGGAAGGACGTGCTCATTTGAATGTCTTTGTTAACTCAGCTCCCGGCAAGCCTCATACTGACCTCACAATATCTCCCAAATTCATCAGTGAAAATATATCCACCAATTCACCTGGGCTGTGAGAGTTTTTAATCCTCCTACACCAGGGCTGACTTCAGTCTTCTGTACTTTTCCTCAGCGGTTTCTAAGTCTTTCAGTCCTTTTTTCTTCTTCACTCCCCCAGTCCCTACTCCCCTTGTCTGCCTGTCTAATAGATTCTCGTCACTCTTATCCCATGCCATCCCAGACTCCATCCCACACGTTAACCCCTGATTAACTTAGTATTTAATTGCTCTTTTATCTGATTAAGTCCTTTGAGGTGTCTTCAAAGATACCCTAGGCTTGTATGCATGTGTGTGTGTGTGTGTATGAGTGTGTGTGAGTGTGTGTATGTGTGTGTGTGTACGTGTGTGTGTGTGTGCATCCTATAAATACCAGTACACATGGGGGGATTGGGCGGGGAGGGGGACGGATGGGACGGGGGACTGGGTGCTGAGGCTAGCTGGTGCTACATAGCATGTTCCAGGCCGCCATGGGCTACAAAATAAGTCTCACAAAGCCAACCGTAGCAAGTCTTCCTTACCCTGCCTCCAACTTCATGTAACACAACAGCCCTTGCCCTTGTACCTTAGTCCCACCAAGTCTTGGCTTACCTTGCATCCATGGAATTCTACAGCTTTTTGTTGTTCTTTTGTCCAATACTAAGGTTTGAACCCAGGCCTTGTGCATGCTAGGCAACTGACTGTCACAGAGCCCATCTCCAGCCCATTTTTCTTTTAAATTTTGATTATTAATTTATTTTGAGGCAAGGTCTACTATAGCTCAGGCTGGCATTTAACTTATGACCCTCTTCCTCCAAAGTGCTAGAATTACAGGTCTTAGCCACCACATCTGGCTCTATTTTTTAAAAAGATTTATGGGGGCTGGAGAGATGGTTCATTGGTTAAGAGCACTGACTGTTCTTCCAGAGGACCCGGGTTCAATTCCCAGTGCCCACATCGTGGCTTACAACCATCTGTCATTCCAATTTCAGAGGATCAGATGTGGTTTTGATCCCCATGGGCACCAGGTATGCATATGATGCATAGACATACAATTTTTTTTTTGTTTTTTGAGACAGGGTTTCTCTGTATAGTTTTGGAGGCTGTCCTGGCACTTGCTCTGTAGACCAGGCTGGCCTTGAACTCACAGAGATCCGCCTGCCTCTGCCTCCCGAGTGCTGGGATTAAAGGCGTGCGCCACCAACGCCTGGCCCATAACAATTTTTTAAAATATCTATTTATTCATTTTTATTTTATTGTGTATATATGAGTGCCTGCATGTTTGTATATGTATCACAAGTGGGCCTGGTGTCCCTGGAGGCCAGAAAAGTGTGTCCCTGCCAGGAAATGGAGTTACTGGCAGTATTGCTTCTTCCTTCCTTCCTTCCTTCCTTCCTTCCTTCCTTCCTTCCTTCCTTCCTTCATTTCTTCCTTCCTCCCTCCCTCACTTCCTTCCTTTCTTCCTTCCTCCCTCCCTCCCTCCCTCCCTCCCTCCCTCCCTCCCTCCCTCCCTCCCTTCCTTCCTTCCTTCCTTCCTGTTTCTTTCTTTCTTTTGATACAAGGTCTCTCTGTGTAGTCCTGGGTATCTTGGAACTCAATATGTAGACCAGGCTGGCCTCAAAAGTCACAGGGTCTGCCTCCCAAATGCTGGGATTAAAGGTGTATGTCACCATGCCCAGCAGCAGCAAGTACTCTTAAAGGAAGGGTCTCTCTAAATTGCCTCTTACATAGGCTGGCTTAAGCTCTCACTTCTGCTTTTGTCTGCAGACAGCTGAGAGCCTGGTGCAGTCTAGTCTTGCATGCTCATAATCCCAGGTTTTTGGGGGAGGAAGATCCAGGACTGTAAACTCATCCTAGGCTACACAGTGAGCTCAAGACACACTGGGTTTCATGTGACCTTCTCTTTTTTTTTTTTTTTTTTTTTTTTTTTTTGGTTTTTTTGAGACAGGGTTTCTCTGTATTGCTTTGGAGGCTGTCCTGGAACTCGCTCTGTAGACCAGGCTGGCCTCGAACTCACAGAGATCCTCCTGCCTCTGCCTCCCGAGTGCTGGGATTAAAGGCGTGCGCCACCAACGCCCGGCGACCTTCTCTTAATAACCAAAAAGAAAACAAGTTGAGCCTAGTGATGCATGTCTGCAGTCCCAGCATTTAGGAGGTAAAGGGGCTCAGGGGTTCAAGTCCATCCTCAGGTACCCAGTGAGCTCAAGGTGAGCCTGATATGAAACCTTACCTCAAAAACCAAAACAAAACAATAACAATGAAAAAGCATGTTAGATGGGGCGCACATCTTTAAATCTAGCACTCAGGAGAAAGAGGCAGAGGCAGACAGATCTCTCTGTACATAGTGACACATCTACCATCTCAGAGAAACTTAAATGTTTTTATTTTGTTTTGTTTGAGATAGAGTTTTACTCTATAAAGCAGGCTGTCATTGAATTCATTATGCAAACCAAACTGACCTTGAACCCTAAATTTATAGTGATCCACCTACCCCAGTCTCCCAAGTACTGAGATTATGGGTATAAGCCATCATGCAAATACATACATATATATACACACACACACACACACACACACACACACACACACACACACACACACTGTGTCTTTCAGAGCCCAACCCAGGGCCAGCCTGGACTATAGAGCAAGTTCCAGGCTATACAGAGAAACCCTATCTCAATAAACAAACAAACAAATGAAGATTTTTGCTAAACATGGTAGCACACGTCTTTAATCCCCCTGGGAAGGTGGGAAGGGACAGAGGCAGAGGATCTCTGTGAGTCCGAGGTTAGCTATGACTACATGGGGAAACCCTCTCAAAAGGTAAAGTAATTGTTTTTATTTTTTTATTTTTATTTTTTGGTTTTTCGAGACAGGGTTTCTCTGTATTGTTTTGGAGGCTGTCCTGGAACTAGCTTTGTAGACCAGGCTGGCCTCGAGCTCACAGAGATCCATGTGCCTCTGCCTCCCGAGTGCTGGGATTAAAGGCGTGCGCCACCAACCCGGCTAGTAATTGTTTTTAAACACAGGCTTAAGCACAGGCTTGAGAGTGAGGGGTGGACAAGTGAGATGGTAGTACATGCATTTGCGTAGCGCAGGATTCTCAAGGGATTTTTACTTCTTAAAATCCAAGTATTTGTTTTGTGCTTTTTTTCGTTTGTTTTGCTTTTTTGTTTGTTTGTTTGTTTTTGTTTTTTCGAGACAGTGTTTCTCTGTGGCTTTGGAGGCTGGAACTCAAACTCACAGAGATCCACCTGCCTCTGCCCAAAGTGCTGGGATTAAAGGTGTGCGCCACGGCCTGGCAAAATTCAAGTATTTGTTTCCCTTTTTTGAGCTCCTAGGCTCGGAGCAATCTCCTCAATGTAGAGCTTGAGTACTGGAGACTACAGGCCAGCAAACAGTGGGGTTCTGGTCTGCGTGCTACGTATATAGGCATGCTTACTTTGTGAAAAACCCATTGAACTAGGAGTGTAACTCAGTGGTAGAGATTGTGCTCAGCATGAAAAAAAACCATGGGTTCTAACCTGGTAGTCCTCATTCTAGAGGTTTTTTTTTTTTTTTTTTGTATTGTTTTGGAGGCTGTCCTGGAACTTGCTCTGTAGACCAGGCTGGCCTTGAACTTAGAGATCTAACTGCCTCTGCCTCCCGAGTGCTGGGACTAAAGTGTGTGCCACCACCATCTGTCTCCCAGAAAAAAAGTGGAGAATTTTGTGCAGTGGTCTATGTTTATCTCATCAAACTTCAGCTCTGCTGACTGCCTGGCTGACCCTAAAATGTGGGGCTCTTGTTTGTAACGCTCCTCTTTTCTTTTCTTTTCTTTCTTCTTCTTTTTTTAATGTCATCTGACTGTCAGTTCTGACATCATTGCATAAAAACTTCCTTGGGAACACTACAAAATATGTCCCCGGGGTTGGCAGTGTGGCTTAATTGCAGAGTAAGTCCTTGGCTTGCAGCAAGCCCCAGGATCAGTCTGAAATATCAAATAGAGGAAAAGAAGAGAAAAAGAAGACAAAACAAGTGCCCTAAGAAGTCTTTGTGGTGATCCCTGATTAGAGAAAGTGTGTGTGTGTGTGTGTGTGTGTGTGTGTGTGTGTGTGTTTGCATGCAAGCGCCTCTCTGTTTTTCTACTCTCAGCATCTAGAGCGCTGTCCTTACAGGAATAGCCACCATGCCCACATCATCTTGCCATTTATTTGCTTCATTTGTCCAACAAATATGAACTGAACACCTCATAAGGGAAGCATCCTTGCTCTCACGGGGCTTCCATTCTTGTTTCCTTGCCATCTTTTGCCCCGTCTACAGAGCACAGCCATCAGGAAGAGCACACTACGGTATCCCTGAAAGGCTGCTGTGAATGAGAATGTTGGGAGGCCAACCTTAGCAGATCCACTGACACAGGCAAGTTTGATTGGGTAGGTGAATCAGTTGGTTTAGACTGGTGACATACTTGATGTGATGCTGGGTGAATGTGAGGGCCTAGGAGGAGTAAGAGAGCTGAGAGAGCATCAGAGTAGAGGCTCCACCAGAATCCGAGCAGGGGGTAGACTAGAGTGATGCCAGAGGGCAAGGGGAGGGAGCTGTTATCCGAGGTTATCTCCATTTAGCTAACAAAGATGTGACCAGCAGGGGGAACCAACCTGCAACTTCTCCCAGAGAATTTTAACAGCCAGCTGTGCTAAAAATGGGAAGCTGTGCTAGATAGATCTCTCGCCTTTAGCCCAAGAAGATGATATACTAGGTTAACCCTCCAAAAGTACTCCTGGATGGTCAGGCATGGCAGCCCACACCTGTAATTGAGTGGTTGAGGCAGGAAGATTTCAAGTTCTAGATTGGCCTGGGTTATACAGTGAGTTCCAGGCTAGCCTGAAGTACAATTGGGATATTGCGTGTAAATACATACATAAACAAACAAAAAGTAAAAAATTGAAAAAGCAAATTCACTAAATGGGAGAGAGTTTAGAGATGGGGGCAGCAAATCTAGGATATTTGTGTCTCTCCTTCCCTTGATTTTTTTTGTTTGTTTGTTTTTTCAAGACAGAGTTTTCTGTGTAGCCCTGGCTATCCCGAAGCTTGCTCACTAGAGCAGGCTGGCTTCAAACCCAGAGATCCCCTTACTTCTGCATCTGGAGCTCTGGGACGAAAGGCGTGAAACACCGTTCCTGACTCTTCACTCACTTTTAATAGATCTTAGTCTGCAGGAAGACTGGGGCATCTACTCTAAAAGACTGACCTAGGTCCAGGGTTATTACCCCTAACAGAGACTGGGGATTCTGGAGGGTGGGCTGAGAAGGAACGGCCGTGGAGAGAGGGAAAGCCACATGGATCTGGCCGGTGGAATGACTGATCTGAGCTATTTACCTGGGCTGAGGCTGTCAGGGCACCCACCCTCACCGGTTATGACACTGTCCTGACAGCCTCCCACACAACCAGCTGCTCCGTCGGCTTCTACCCTCATAATGAGGTTTTCTCAGTGTGTGCTCGCTGAGAGGCATGTAGAACTTGCTCCCATCTAATAGAGACGACACTCTTCTTCTTCCACCCGCTCCCCTCAGACACTCAGTTCAGGACCCTAGAGCTCTCCAGGACCTTCTGCAGAATGACTAGGGTGTGTGAGCAGATGGATGGATGAGCCCCTAGTCCCCACCAAGCCCTTGCCACACCCTCCAGAGCAAACTGGTCCTCTCCCCTCTTTTGCTCTCTGTCCTGTCCACCGTCCCTTAGCGGGTCCCCAGGTCCCCAGCCAACGCTCCAGCATTCTCACCATCAGGCCTCCTCCAACGAAGCCACCCATAAGCCAGACTTGCAAGCTGAGGTTGCTGTTGGTCCAGGTGGTCTTCCCATCAGGAACCAGCAGGAGGGCATTGGCCACGATGCAGATCAGGGAGAGAGGGATGAGGGAGAGCCCCAGGCACCGCGCACACTTTCCCGTACACATGTCAGTGGCTTCAGGAAGGGCAGGTGGTGAATGAAAGCGAGAGGAAAGTGCCAGGGTCCAGAGCACACTAGGCTGGAGCTTGGAGCAAAGGTCTGCAGAGAGGAGTGGCAGAAACTGGTAGAATCACCGTGATAAGAGGAGAGAGGCCCGGAGGAGGTGGAGGGGCTGCCGCTGGGTGAGTTTAAGAGGAGGATGTGGTGGCAGGAGATGTGGGAGCTTGTCACACAAAGGAAGTTGACTGGGGTCAGCATCTTCCTGGGTCTGTACACACCTTTCCACAGCCCTTCCTCGTCTACTTCGGGACTCAGCTGAACCCTTCACCCCTGGAAGTCTCAGTTGTTTCACTTGTACAAAAAGCTTGCGTGAAGCCACTTTGAGCCGGCTGGAGGGATTTCGTGGGACAAGGTAGAAGGATCTGTCACCAAGGAAGTGTAGGACAGATGTATGACAGCCTCATTATTTCTGCCCCACTCACTGGGAGAGATTTTTTTCTGTAAAGAAACTGAAAAGACTACAGTGGAGTCAGGCAGCAGCATTCGGGAAGATTGTGGGTTGGTTACATTGTAAAGCATTGTCTGAAAACACACAAAAGGATGATAATAACTTCTGGTCTATTTATTTCTTTTCAAAAGCTTCTTTTTTTTTTCAAAACAAGGTTTCACTGTGTAGCCCTGGCTTTCTTGGAACTAACTATGTGGACCAGGCTGACCTCAAACACACAGAGATCCACCTGCCTCTGCCTCCTGAGTGCTGGGACTAACCACTGCCCAGCTCTTTGTTTATTCAGCTTTTTCTGTTTTTCAGAATGGGCTCAAGCATTCCATCAGTGTTGACTCCATGAACCAAAATGGTCCCATTTCCTTTTTATTTTATTTTACTTTTATGTGTATGAGCATTTTGCCTACATGTACATTTTTGAACCACTCATGTGCCCTGATGTCTGAAAAAGCTAGAAAAGGGCATTAGATCCCATAAGACTGAAGTTACAGGTGGTTGTGAGGTACCATGTGGGTGCTAGGAATCAAACCCAGGACTTCTGGAATCACCCAGTGCTCTTAACCACTGAGTCATTTCTCCAGCTCTTGTTTTTTGTTTTTATTTTTGTTTTTTGTTGTATTTTTGAGACAGGGTCTCACAAGGTAGACCTGACTGTCCTGGAACTAGATCTGTAGGCCAGGCTGGCCTTGAACTCAGAGATCCACCTGCCTCTGTTTTCCAAGTGCTGGGATTAAAGGTATGAGCCATGATGCCCAGCTCTCATTTTCATCTGGTTTTGTTCATGCTGTGAGAACAAAGAAGTTCTGGTTTTGTCGAGGTGCTGAAGGCACTGGTGATCTGTCATCATGGGAGAAGACCAGCCTGTTGGGAGTGAAATCTAGATGAGCGAACAATGGAGATAGAAGTTGGGATGATGCTGTTTAAACCTGGACATACACCCATGTCAGAAGCCTGGCCATCCCTTAGAATGTTTCAGTTATGTAAACTGGTTCGAGCTGTGTTTCTGTCAACTCTAATAGAGAAATCTATTTTGTTTTTGGCTTTTTGAGACAAGGTTGCAGTATGGAGATCAAACTGGCCTCAAACTCACTATCCTGCTGACTCAGCATCATGAGGCCTGGGATAGGCATTTATCACCATCCCCGGTGAAGAAAATTTTTTTCTTTTTAAAGATTTATTTATTATGAATACAACATCCTGCCTCCATGTATGCCTGCAGGCCAGAATAGGGCACCAAATCTCATTATGGATGGTTGTGAGCCACCATGTGGTTGATGGGAATTGAACTCAGGACCTCTGGAAGAGCAACCAATGCTCTTAACCTCTGAGCCATCTCTCCAGCCCCCTAGAAATAATTTTTTAAAGATTTATTTTTATTTTATGTATATGAGTGTTTTGCCTGAGTGTATGTCTGCCCACCATGTCCATGCAGTGCTGGAAGAAGCCAGAAGAAAGTACCAGATCCCTTGGAACTGGAATTTCACAAGGCTGTCAGCATCCATATTAGTGCTGTGAATTGAACCTGGGTCCTCTAGAAGAGCAACCAGTACTCCTAACTATTGAGTCATCTCTGCAGCCCCTGCAATCATTGTGGCTACGTGAATTCCTTAAGCCCGTTCTTCCTTAGGACCTCGTGGTAGAGTATGGATTCACAGTTATCAGGACTAAGTTCGGGATTGTGCCCTTGAAGAATTCACTCACACTGGGTAGCATCTGGTCAGAGATGAGGGTTGCAAGAAATACTCTGGAATCTTACAGAGGTACTTGATGCCAGTGCCATAGGGAAGGAGGCATCTAGTCAGGGGTCTGTTGAATTTCCTGCCCAAACCATCATAAACATGTGGGAAACGGAGAAATCTAGGTGCCACTCAAAAATAAACAGGAGAATCTTGGAGGAATCCCTGTTACCTGTGAGATGGAGAAGCTGGATGGAGAACAGCAATGAAGACTCTGCCTCTTAAATGAGGGATGCCTGAAAAAGAAAGTACTTTGAACTTTCCCCATCTGTTCGAACTGTTTGCCTCTGACTCATGAACAATTACATGGTCATTGATATTTGGTATTGCTTTTGATGACTTGTTTAGTGCTTTAATAATATTTCCAGTGCAGAAGGTCGGAATTTCAAGCACCCAGGAGACAGAGACTGGAATACTCCAAGTTTGAGGCCAATCTGAACTACATAGTGAGTTCCTGGCCAGCCTGGGTTACATTGTGAGCTCCCACCCAGTTAGTGTTATGTAGTGAGATCTTGTCTCAAAGTAAACACAAAACAAAACAAAATTTACAAAGTGAAAAAGATGGGGACAGCAGTGAGGAAGTTAATCAGTTTGAACAAGATATGATGACATGAATGTATGAAAATACCACAATTAAAACTAATACTTGGCTGGGCAGTGGTGGTGCACACCTTTAATCCCAGAACTCAGGAGGCAGAGGCAGGGGGATCTCTGAGTTTGAGGCCAGCTTGGTCTACAAAGTGAGTTCTAGGACAGCCAAGGCTATACAGTGAAACCCTGTCTTGAAAAAAAAAACAAAGCAAACAAACAAAACCATTACTTATTATATGAACTTTTAAAAAATTTAAATGCATTTCCACAGTGTTTCCTTTTCGTTAAAGTTTTACATTCTCTGGTACTTCTGGAGGTATATTTTAAAGTTGAAACAGTGGTTATTTTTAAAAGCTGTGCATCATTCTTTAGTCACCTGCCTGTCCCCTCTGCAGCTCCCTCTGAGGGGTTGTATGCAGATGACTTACCATGCCTTGAGCAACTGTACCTCATGAACTTCGGTGAAAAACAGGAACTACTTGCTCTAATTCCTCAGCCCTCCCTGTATCGATGTCCTGTGATGTGCCCTTTGTAGCCCCTCTTGCTAGAAGTAGCCCCTTTACTGCATGGGCAAAATGGAATGTGGGCAGAGTCAACAAGACAAGATTTCAGAACCAATACACATAGAACAAAAATAATCTTAAAAAAAATGAAGTGCTCAGGCCGGGCGTTGGTGGCGCACGCCTTTAATCCCAGCACTCGGGAGGCAGAGGCAGGCGGATCTCTGTGTGTTCGAGGCCAGCCTGGTCTACAAAGTGAGTTCCAGGACAGCCTCCAAAGCTACAGAGAAACCCTGTCTCGAAAAACCAAAAAAAAAAAAAAAAAAAAAAATGAAGTGCTCTATGGTGCCATGTGTCTCTATCTTTGTCACTGGAGAAACATGCTGGGCTACCCACTGGCTTAAAAAAAGGTGTAAGATACAAGGACAAAGTCCCTGATTGGATGCCAATCTATGTCAGCTGCCCTCTAGTCACCTTTACATGTATGAGTGAAATAAATGCTTATATTTATATGTCATGAACACTATGGGTTTTCGTTTTATTAAAAAAATTCTTGTGTGTGTGTGTGTGTGTGTGTGTGTGTGTGTGTGTGAGAGAGAGAGAGAGAGAGAGAGAGAGAGAGAGAGAGAGAGAGAGAGAGAACAAGTGTGCCACCCAACACTTGTGGAGGTCGGATGACAACCTCTGGTGACAGCCTTATCTGATCTGCTGGGCTTGCTTGAGGCCAGGTCTCTTCTTTGTCACTACACATGCCAGACTGGCTTGTCCCACGGACTTCTGAAGAGTCTCCTGTCTTCACTTCCCACTTGCTACAGGAGCCCTGGGGTCACAGGGGCTCATGCCGTATCTGGCTTGTTTGTGAGATTTGAATTCGGGTCCTCACACGTGCACAGCAAGCCTGTTACCCACTGGGCCATCTCTCCAGCTCAGGCCTGTTGTTTGTTTGTTTGGTTCTGTTTATTTTCTGAGACACGGTGTCATGTGGGGAAAAAGTGACCACTAATTTATTGTGAGGCCCAGTATGAATTCTTTAAAAAAAAAACAACAAATAAAATGCTTTACTTACACCACGTTTCTCTTGTGAAGATTATTTTCTTTAAAGAACATTTAAAAAGTAAGTCTCGAACTAAGTATTTTTTATTTACTTCCTGCAAAATCTTTCCATCATGCCAGTAACAAACTGTGTTGCTGTAAAGATGGGTTTAATCATTAACAAGTCTAATTTTGTCTCTATCAACAACAAAACTACTAGCCCTGATTAGAAGAGCTGGAACTTCAACAGGGAATTTCACTTATTGATTAGTCATTACGTATTACCAGCTGACAAAACTAAGTCTGGTATAGGACAGCTGTCATCTACGTAACTGCAGGTAGTCATGGCTTTTCACTTAGGTTTTGAATTCATAAAACATAACAAAGAGATAAAATGCAGTCTTAGGACCTCATAATGAGTTGTTTGAAATACTAATTATTTTGGTGCCAAATTCAAACAAAAGTGCTGTCAAGGTTAGCAGTTAAGACAGTGTGGCCACTAGATTTTTTTTTCATTGTTTTTGAGACAGGGTCTCACTATGTAGACCAAGTTGGCCTGAAACTCACAGAAATCTGTCTCTCCCTCCCAAGTGCTGATATTAAAGGCATGCACCACCAGACTCAACTCATGCTATTAATTTTCACATGCATGGGGGGGGAATGTGTGTGAAGATCAGAAAACAACTTTGCATGTCATCTTCAGGAACACTGGTCACCTCCTTTGAGACAAGGTCCTCTGAT